TTTTTCAATTTGTATTTTTACTAGTACATGTTTTCAGTACATAATGAGTATATTCTTCATGGGGATTGACACATGTACATAACATATCTTAATTATTTTGTCATCCAACTAGCCTATTTAAAAACATCAAGCATAATGATTCTAAATGGAAAATTCTCACTGTAATGAAAGCTCAGGTCACTGGTAGGTTTACACACTTGGGCTGATTCAAATGTGTTTAGAAATGAGCTATTTCTTGCAATCAATCTGCTTTCTATCTTGAAATTCCTACAGTTTGAGTTTCTAACTAATACAGTTAGCCTTCTATATTCACATATTTTGCATCTGTGGATTAAACTCATGTGGATCCAAAATATTTAGGAAAAAATGTATGCCTGTACTGAGTATATCCAGATCTTTTTTGACATTATTTCCCAAACAATATGGCATAACAACTACTGACACTGCATTTGGTATAAGTAGTCTAGAGATGATTTAAAGTGTACAAAAGGATGTGTGCATGTTATATACTAGTACAAAACCATTTCACGTAAGAGATGTGTGCATGCTCAGACTCTGGTAGCTAAGCAGGATCCAGGAATCAATCCCCTACATACACCAAGGGATAAGTATTTATTGCACTATTAAATGATATGCAGAATGGCATAAACATTTCCCTAAGTCATAAATGAGAAAAGATAAACTTGCAGTTATAAAACTTATGCTTTTATGGCAAAGTATTTCTTATAGATTTAGGTTTTAACATTTAAGTTAATTAAATCTCCCAACTAAATACACAAATGACTCCAAGAATCCATATTGAGACTCTTTAAGTCCACCACATAAGAGGATCAGTGATGATCAGTAAAGAAGAAAGACCCCCTGGACAGGCCCAGAAGGAGACATTCATACAGAAAGCACAAGATGCCACTGCCTGCTCAGGGAGCTTGCAGGCAGGTCTCCAGCCAGGAAAGAATGTCCCTACTCTGAGTCCAATCCTAGGTTTCCAATCCACAAAGCCCAAGTCAGGACAATTTAGAAGGGGCTTGGATTTCTCCAGATAAATGTGAGCTTCAATACTCATCGTTAGAGAAGATTGGGATATTTCTCACTAGCTATAACAACCAAAACTCGCAGACTAGTGAGACATATGACTGTCTGAGGAGATCTAGTACCATTATGTAGGTGAAAGGGGCAATTGTTAATATGGCTGAAGGAAATCCAGGCCTGAAACCATGTTAAGAACTCAGGTGGATTGGTGTGTGGGAAAGGGGCAGCTGAATTACCCAGGGTTGTTTATTTCTTAAGCAATAGGGAGGAAAAAGGGACCAGAGGGTCTGAGAATGAAAGAGAGAACAGCAAGCTAGAGCAAGGTCCAGAAGCAAGATAAAGTGACAGCTGGGATGAAAGGGGACTAAAGAGCAAACACACGTTGCATCCAGTGGGTAGAGAGCAAAGTGCCACAGACTGCTTTGTGGGGGGTCCTGCCCTTTTGATCTTTATGAGGTCCAAGTGTGCCACAGTGCTCTGAAGGAGTCTGGACAGGGAGAATTCTGACTTGGCATTATAGGATACCTTATCTGGATTAAAGAAATATTATTTAAGGGTATCTCTCACTAAGCAATCTACTCGATTCTATCAGAAGAGTTAGAAAAGGGTGGGAACATATTTAAGTACTGAGAATTTATCTGAGAATCCACAGTTATATTTACTAAGCTAATAAGATTCTAAATATGAAATAAAGCAAATCAATGACAACGATTACTAATTATCTTCTGCGAGAGAGCAGCTAGTTTTAAATGAGAGGTTATGTCAGAACAGTTACAGTATGAAATGTGATCAATAAACTAGACATGAATTTATAAAACAGATTACATTTTTGGTATTTTATAGTACATTTTCTTACTAACTTCTGATATTCTCCAAATGTAATTCTTTACTGACTCAGTGACTGCTGCATACAGTTTTTAGTTTTGCATAGAATAGTATATGGGCTCTGAGCACTTTTGTGTACTCTATACATCCTTAGTGTCACTATTAAGAGAGCACTACCATCAGCTGGTATCATTTCTTATAAGTATTAGTGACCTGAGAGTAAAAATTAAAACCTCCCCAGTGGTATACTGTAAGGATGCCTCTTACTTACAATGCTACTAATTAAAATATCCAACATGCTTGGAATCTTTATGTGGCAGGCACTATTATAAGGAATTCATATTTTTATTTAGTCTCCCTAATTATCATATATGGTAAGAGCTGCTATTATTTTTGGATGAAGCACGCAAAGCACAGAGCGGTTAAAGAACTTGTTCAAAGTAATAGAGTAGGAATTAGGGAAAACAAGATTTGAATTCTGAATTCTTAACCAAAATAATATACCACCCTTGGAAAGAAGTAAGTCAGACATCATGGTATATTGCATTAAGAAAGGATTCAAGAAGATCTACCTTTTGATCCTAAGTTTTGTTCTAACTTACTATATGATCTTGGGTAATATCTTCTCTCAATCTGTTTTTGCATCTATAAAATGCATAATGATATTAAAAGCAAAAAAGGTACATAATATTATAATACTCTTAGGACTGTTCCTAACACACAGAAAATTTCAATAAATATTAACTATAAAAAAGAGTGTGAAGGTCTCTTAAGGAAAAATGTCCCATGAAGAATCTTTAAGAATTTTGTGTGCCAGAAATTTATGCTGTGAATTCAGAACATATTGTGCACAACTTAAAGCAAAATAGCTTTAAAAAAACCTGTAACAGTAATGAAAAACAAAGCGTACAGCAATTCTAAGGGCTACCAATTACAGACATACATAGAATTCTGAGCTCAAGGGACATTTATACATCTCTGTGATTTGTAAAGCTGTTTGATTCCAAAGGGAGACCAAATGTTTATGTACAACCAATGTGTGGTAGAAGGCCCCAAATTAATGTTGTGGGTTGCCTTGATATCTAGTAAAACTGAGAGGGCCTGATCACAAGCTCACCTCTCTATCCTGCTCCTGCAGACAAGACTCCCTGCTAAATAATTCTCTCGATCCAGTGGGTGAGGTCAGCTCCTGTTCACCCCAGAGGATGGTATTCAAACAAGCCCATCCCCTACAGAACTCCCCCTTACAGCTTCTGGTTGTCCCCTGGGCTCTGTGTGGTCTTTCATAGCATCTAGTGTCCTCCCTCCCTAGTGAGTGAGTCTATGTGACTATTAAACTATTGTAGATCTCCTCTGTCCACTGCCAAGGATCATGGGCATAGCCACCACCATGCTGCTGAGGTGTGAATCCTGAACTCACCAGTAGGTGAATAGAACATGATTATAACACCATCTAGGATGACAGCTGACCCAAAGGCAATCAGGTACTATGCCCAGGGGCATTTATATCAGAGGACCCTCAGTAAGACTTCAGATTCATAAAGTGGTGTTTATTTCAAGCTTCTCTTAACCTAACACCAATTCCCACTGCCCAACATTAGCCAGAGCATCTCAGCATCAAAATAAAGTGTCCTCTCAATAACAGTAAGTGAGAAACAGTATTTTAATAATAAAATATGATATTCACAGGCATAAATATTATTGAGGTAGGAATATATACTATTTAAGCCTAAAATTTCCAAAACTACCAAATGGAAGAAACATAAACATATCTAAAGAATTTGTACCTGTTCATTTTTTATGGAAGCCTGCCTGTTGTAAGGATGGGTTTTGATACGAAATGACCACATATAAAACTACTTTGACATTTCCCCTGACTTCTATTTAATCACAGAAATCTACCTTCATGAATAATACTACACTTTAGGAAAAGCTCTCATTAAATCAGAACCATTTATATAATGAAATTTAATATTAAAATCTAACCATTGTTACGAAACACAAATTTGGCCATTATTTTTCCAGAAATACAGATTTTAGTGTGTAGGGGTGGGAAAACAGATAGCATATGCCTGACATTAAGTATTTTTCTGGTGCAACCACACCATGCAGTGATACTTAGAAACACAGCTCTCTTTTGTACCTTGTAAAAAGAGCTAAGGCTTTCAACACAGGACGTCACTTACTTTAAAATGTAAATAGTTGCTGAGTAAGTTTATTTTCAGGCCTGAAGATCAAGGAAAGAATTCTTGAGGGCAGGAGTGGGTGATTAGGTCTGAGGTCAGCAGAAGAAGCTGGCCTCTGAAGTAGAACTGTTAACAATCTGACCATTTTTAAGGCATTATACCCTTTCCCTGTTATAAAACACTGACCAAAATAGGCTCCCTTAGGAATTTTAAAAAGCAGTAAGATATGTACCATTCCTACTGTTTAAATATCCTGCCCATCCCACCTCTGAAACAACAATAAAAGAACTTCTCTCCCTGCTGGGCTCTTTGCGCTTACTTCTTTATCAGTGGATGCTATTAAAATGTGGATGCCACCAGCATTCTAATTTCAAGTACATCACAAAATTCTATACTCTTATTAATTCTTTTTTCTTAAGAAGAAAGAGATTTATATCATTCCTCTACTTCTAAACACTGCTCCAGTCCTGTGTGGGCTGAAATATATTTGGAGTTAAATAATACAGGGTGTTATTCAAACCTTTCATTTCCCGCACCCTATTTCAAGCTAGGAAAAGACCATGAGTGGTCAGTGCAACCCAAAATAGGATAATTTAAATCTTTCTGATTAATACAACTCACATCAGTAAATGAGTATTTTCCTTACGCTTATTCTATAATAAAGCTGGCATTGCTCAAATAATTTTTGGAAGCCTCCCTTATCATCTGACAACCACTCCCCACCTATTCCCACCTCGGCTCTAAGTGCATTTGCATTCATACACACACACACACACACACACACACACACACACACACACATATACACACCCCGCTTCTCTTAACTGTTAACATCACTTAGATTTAAATCTAAAATACAAGAAACCTAACTGTCTCACCTGGCTAGAGCTTAGGTGTCAAAGACAATTTTTATTTCTCCAAATTTGTTTTCTTATCCTCCACAGAAATGTTAACTGTTAGGTGTTCACATGGCTACCCAGTAAGACTATACTTTCTCACCTGCCCTGTGCAGTTCTGATGAACAAGATGTGAGCAAAAACGCTACACACCAGTCTCTTGGAGCCTTCTTTTTTTTTTTTTTTTTTTGCGGGGGGGGGGGGGGGGGGGGGTCTTTTTGAGACAGGGTCTCCATATGCAGCTCAGGCTGGCCTTGAGCACACTTTGTAGCCCAGGCTGGTCTCAAACTTGCAACGATCCTCCTGCCTCAGCTTCCTGAGTGCTAGGATTAGACGTGTGCCACCATACCCAGCCCTCTTGGAGCCTTCTTAAAAAAGCCTTCCTTCACCTGCTGCCAGGAGTATGGAGGTGATGGCTGGGACTCAAGCCACCTCTTGCACCATGCAGATGTGGGCCAAGTCCTAGGGATGGCAAAAAGCTGGGGGTGGCTTGGGTCTCTGCTGGCTGGATGGTATACAGCCAGGACACCAGGCCTGGACTGTCCACCTGCACAGTGTTATGTTAGAGAAAATTAAGTTCAACCTATCAAATCGAATGTCACTTGGAGTCTCTGATGGTTATAGACAAGCCTAATTCTAGTTTTTACAAATAATATTTGCAAATTTATTAGGTATGTAAAAATAAAAATTATTTTTACAAATAATGTTTAAAAATAAAACTCCATAAATAAAAATTTCTTGAAAATATTCAAAGTAACATGACTATTTAAGAGAAGAAATAAAGAAAAGAAAAAGATGTATGTCACAGACTTCAGGGGCTTCCTGATAAAGTAAGTATGCACTGTTGGAATAGGCATAGTGCCCCTTAGAAGAGAACAATGTTTTTGTGGATAGTTAAGTTTAGGTGTTGTTGGAATCTATCCCTTTACTTTATTACCAAATAAACATAAGAAGTCAGTTTCTACAAGACAGAAAGATTTCAGCACATTTGGATTGTATCATACCCTACACAGGAATATTCACACAACTTTAAGAATTCAAACCCCCAAACACAGAGCAGAAGCAGCTAAAAAATGTGTGATAAAACAGAAAAGTAAAGTGTAAAGCAAAAGCATGGTGTGAGACTTACATGGTTATCTTTACAGTAGTATGAAAGGGTAGGAAATCGCCGTCTACTCCGGAATTTGGAACTTCCCACTATGATGTGTGCTGTAGCTGATTTGGGAACGTACAATTCAGTGGGGTAAGAGTCACAAACCTATCACCAGAAAATACAAAAGGATTTTTAGGCAATCCAACGTTTTCCAAATTCCATTTCACTATACTCACAAGTTACACATTCAAGTTTTCTCAGTTAAGTTACAGAAGAGGCTATTTCAAGGAAATCCGAAGTCACTTTAGAGAAACGAAGTGCTGCTCATTCTACATAATGATTCTAAAGCAGCACAAAACACCCAAGTGTCTTGCCCTTGTGCACTGTCTCTCTGTCCAAGGGCTCCTTCTGTGAGGCAAGACAGTAACAATTGAGCATTCCTTTCATCAAAAAAGAACAAATTGTAATTTTGTATCCTGGCAACTGAGAAACCTTTAGCTGCCTGTATTTGATGGAAAGATAGTCTGACACTGGGGACAGCGTTCCTAAAATGTAAGCGCAGTCATTACGTTGCCAGTTTACCTCTGTGTTCCTGGCACACAAAGTGCACATTCCTCTACCCTCCCTGGACACCCCTCCCCTCTGTCTTCTCAAATCTCATCCATTCTCCCACAGCCAACCCAAGTTCCCTCCCTTAGGAAACTTCCTCCCTGGTCCTCCAAGCGCATGCTGCAGATTACTAGATCTGATTTCCTAATGTACCACACAATATACTATCACAGCTTTATCTGTTTTCTTTTAGGCACTGATTTCATAAGTGGTAAGAACTGATTCCTTCTCTCTGGCAGCAATTACCATGGTGGAAACTCTGGTGCCTTGTAATTTAGAAACAGACCAGCAGTTTAATATCTGGCTCGATTTAGCAACTTTATGACCTTGGGAAAGCCAAATTACATTGAGCACTTTGGTTTTCTAATCTCTAAAACCGATACTACAGCAATAGTATTTCAAAGGGTGGACAGAAGGAACAAGTCAGATTACAGTCCAGACAAGGTACATTATAATCCATTGGAGCCAAAAGAAATGCTATTGGCAGCAACAGTTATAGTTGATACTGTTGCTCAACACATATTTTGCTTTCATACTGATCTTTGTGCAATGTGATGATGGTAGTTTCCTGGGCTTTGAGCAACTGTTTATTTCCTGGAAGTCAGGTATCTTCTTAGGAATATCAACAGTCCTTAAGGAAGTGTAGCAGTGGGGGCAATACTTGCTCTACAGATCTTTCCCTATCCATCTACTCTTACCACTCTGGAAGATAGGACTGAAGGGAATGAAAGCCCACAAGAGGAGAAAGCTCAGCCTCCTAAACTCTCATCAATTGCCCTGCAATGACATCCTCTCTTGCCTGTTTCTTGTCTTTGTTACCAGGCTGGTAACACACAAGACAGAGCAGGAAAAAAGGATCACAAAAGGAGGTCATGAGCCCAAAGTACTGTATAATTTCAAGATTTTTACCAAAGACATGTTGGCAAAGAACATCACTACCAAGTTTCTTGTAGGCTTTGGCACTGACACTCTAGAGGAAAATCCTTACCAAGAGCAGACAGGCCATCCCAGACCCAGAGAGTAAGAAGGACTTTGCAACAGACGGCCTTGCATTCCCCACACCAACTTGGTATCTGACCCTGTCTGCCATTAACCAGCTAGAACATTACGCACAGACCACACCTGCTTGTCTGAGCTTGCAGAGACATGGAGTCATGGCACTAGATACGCATTTTCTTCAAATAATAGTTTTTAAAAGAAATTAAGATTTTGAGTAAGGAAGGAATGATAAAGTTTTATGACTAAATGAAGTAAGAGTAATAGGCCAAGATTTCATAACAAACTTATTACACCCAGGTTCTGACTATCAAGAGGTGAATAAAGGGACACTGAAACTCCCGACAGGCGCTCTGATGGTCTCCCATGTCCAGAAAATGTCCAGTGTGGCTCAGGTCATGGCACTATGGGCGCTGTAGCTGGAATGGGACTGAGAGAGAAGATAAAAATCCAGGGCCCATTCTCTCCTCAGCCCAACTCAGGGTATGAACTGTATGTGTTCTCTGTGTTCCCAGAACCCTCTTTCTTCACATGGTGGTGGAGAGCACAGCCTCCTGCCCTCTGAGACTGCAGAGCTCTCACCACACAGAGCAGGAGAAAGCAGACCTGCATGCCTGGGCATGTGCCAGGGCCAAGAGTTCAAAACTGAGGTCATTAGCAGTGGTCAGACTTGGACTAGCTGTCATGGTCTTCCCCTGGGGACATATCAGTTACAAGGATGCCTGAATTCCTGGGTTTAGGAGAGAAACCTCCATAGGTCAGGGCACTGTTTTGAGTACCTACATGCAAAGCACTAGGTAGCACTGTAACGGTAGACCCACAGTGCCAATTAGCTCAGTTTCAAAATACAACTTTTATAGGGCTAGAAATATGAAATTATTCTGCTTTCAATAAAGCATGCAACAGGCTAAAGCAGAAATTAATATAACAAATCACAATCCCACTAAAAACTGCAAGGAATTAAAACAAGATACAAACCAATGAACAGATATCCTGTGTTTATGAATTAGAAGACTTAATACACTACCACCCAGAGAATATGATCCTACAGATTCATGGCAATGTTTATGAAAATCCCAATGGCATTCTCTGCAGACACAGAAAAGTCCATCTGAAAATCTATATGAATTATCAAGGGAGTCCATATAGCCAAAACAATTTTGAAAAAGAACAGTCAGAGGACTCATACTTTATAATTCCAAAGCATACTGTAAAGCCATACAAACAGTATGATACTGGCATACAGACACAAGATAATGGAATAGAGAACCCAGAAATAAAAACTGTGTATATCGTCGAACAACCCCTAACAAGGTTGCCAAGACACCCTGGGAAAAGTATAGTCTCTTCAATAAATGATACTGCGAAAACTAGATATTCAAGTACAAAAAAATGAAGGTAGGACCTTATTTAAAATGCAAAAATTAACTCAAAATGGAGTATTAAAGGTCTTAAATGTAAGACTTAAAACTACAGTGCCCTTGTAACGGAAAAAGCTTTAGGACATCAGAGTTGGCACTGATTTCCTATGTATACACAAGAGATCAAAAGCACAAGCAATAAAAGAAAAAAATTACACAAATGCAACTACATAAAATTTAAAAAATTTTGTGCATAGAAGAACATAATCAAAAGAATGTAATGATAACCTATAGAATAGGAATATTTGCAGATGAGATATTTCCCATGGAGGTTATTCTCTAGACTATATGACAAACGCCTACAACTCAACTAAAAATATGCAGAGGACTTGAATAGACATTTCTCCAAAGATACACAAATAATCAACATGCACACAAAAAAGATATTTGATATCACTAGTCATCAGGGAAATGAAACCCAAAACTACAATAGGCATCTAACAGTTAATTATTAAGCTGATCACTACTAAATTAAACACAAAATAATAAGTATTGGTTAGGATGTAGAGAAACTGAAACCTTTTGCACTGTTGGTGGGATTGTAAAATAATGTAACTACTATGGAAAACATTACAAAAAATTGAAAAACAGCATTACTATGTAATAGCCAAGAGCTGAAATTAACATGAATGTCCCCTGACAAAGGAAAGCATAATCAAAATGTGGCATACCAACACACTGGACTATTATTCATCCTTAAAAGGAAAGGGAATTCTGTCACACATTATAGCACAGAGGAACCTTGAGAACATTCAGTGATATAAGCCAGACACAGACAGAAAATACTGTATGATTCCACTTAAATGAGGTATCTGAAATAGTTAAATTTATAGATCCAGAAAGTGGAATGGTTGCTGCCAGGGTTGCGGGTAGGGAGGATAAGCAGTTGCAATTCTGTAAGATAAAAAGAATTCTAGAGATCAGTTGCACAACAATGTGAACACACTGAACATTAATAAACTATATATTTAAGAATGGTTAAGAAGGGAAATTTTAAATTATGTATTTTTATCCCAATAAAAACAATTTTAGTAGAGACTGCTGTCACTTTTATAACAACCTCATAGAACTGTAGTTAAAATTCTGATAATGAAAGTGCACCAAACAATGTAATTTATGCCACTGAATGTTGAAACTCTTCAACATGGCCCCCAAGATTTTGTCTGGTTTTGAAAATCAGAAAAGAAAATTTACAGAGAATAGGAAAAGTTTATAAAAGTAAAAATGTTTTCTTCTGAGTTTGTGCTTTCCTTCAAATTTTTCCTTTTCTTCTGACTCTCCATTTAGTTTTTCAATGAAAATATATCTGTATGTTAATGACTTTGGCTTCTTTGTCCTTCACTAAATAAATTAGCCTGCTAGATGTACCTGCATGCTTCTGTATAGTTCTGCCCAAAGGAATTTTTTCAGTAATTCTTTCACTCAATAATGAGCTTTTACTGACTCCTTACTATATTCTAGGCATTACTATTATGCACTGGGGCAGAAATAGGCAACACATTTTTTGGACTTGAAAACTTTATATTCCTAGAACAACTGATTTTTGTTGACCTAGTTATAATCTTCCAGTAAATACATTTACTTTGGCAGATTAATACTTTGGCAGTATTATAACCATCTGTCAGAGATGCTATCACAGGACTTAGTCAGACTTCTGTATTTAGTGAAGACCATTCACTCATCTGAGCATGTTGCAGTAAGTTTGTTGTCAGAAAATGAAATACATTTACTCAAATGTATATAAATGATTTATATATAAATAAAATAATATATAAAATACAGCTGTGGAAAAACAAGCTTTAGTAAAATCACTAGTTTGGATTAAATTTTAAATTGTATTTCAGAAGTTTAATAATTTAACCTAGTAATGAATTTTAATTCTCTTATTTGGATAGGATAATTTCAAGGTTAGATATTGTATTGGTCAGCTTTCTGATTTCTGGGATAAAATGACACCCAAAACCTAAAGGAAAGCTGACTCTTCTGTGGTCCTCTGCCTCCAAGGCAGCAAGGGCGTGGCAGAGGGAATGTCGGAGGAAAGCTGCTAACTCTTGGGTAGTCAGGAAGCAGAGAGAGACGAAGGGGCCAGGGCCAAGGATATGTACACCCTTCCAGACCACACACCCAGCGACCTGCTCCCTTCAACCAGCCCGCTGGACATGAAGCTAGGAACCAGCAATGGATGAATCCACTGATGAACACAGCACCCCCAGGATCCAATCACCCCCTTAAACCCCATCTCTGAACACATGAGCCCTGTGGTGGAGCTTCTTAATCTAAACCATGACCGATTTAAAATGAAATCCTAGATTAGAGAGTTAGATTACCATACGTGCCATAAATAATGTCATAATAATGACAGAATAAATAACTGTTCTTGTGGACTATCTAATACCACACAATAGACAAATGGCATAACTGGTTCTGGAATGTAAGTTTTTACATTTAATGTCAAGTCAATGTCATTTTTCATCACTGGCAATCGTTTTCTTCTCCATCACATGACACTGTTTGGCTCAATTACTTCAAACAATTTGTGAGACTTAGTGATAAGTACAAAATCAGAAAATCCCCTAGGCTTTCATATTTTGTGTCTCAATAGTCTGTTAATGCTTAGCTGTGTTTTACTGTGTGTTACTATTGAAAAGAAATCCTATGTAACACACTTCGCAATTTGTATGACAAGGACTTAAGTGACTATATGTTGTCATACAGTCATATAGTCACCATGACTGTGGTGCTAGTGTGAGAAGGAAATCTCATCAAAAATGAAAAGAACCCGTATTTCCAAGAAAATATTGTTCCACTAGATTTGGTTCAGCTTCATTCTCTTCTTTTTCCAGGGCCATGTCATTTTAAAAAACAAAAACATTCAATTTGCTTTACTAAACTTAAATTTCTCTTCCTTTCATTTCAAGACTAAACATTCAGTGTAAAGGTTGGTATTAGCATGAGAATAAACTATTATGATTACGTTAGCCAGATACTTTACAATGATTTAGGTGATGGCTGTTAAATTTAAGTGTAATTACAAAGAAAAATCAGTATCATGGCAATCCATTCTACTCCAAATAATCTATAAGCTTAAGAAATCTGAAAGAATCAAGCAGAAGGACCACTTGTCAGATGTTAAGATTTATTATAAAAGTACAGTAATCATAATTAGTAAAAACATAATTATGGAATTGGGACAGTGTCAGATTTGGACAAAAGCCAGGTTTGGTGGTATATGTCTGCAATTCCAGGTACTGAGGAGGCTAAGGCAAGAGGATCACACGTTCAAGGCCACACTGGGCAATTTAACAAGATCTTGTTTCAAATGTTAAAAGAGGGCCGGGGATGTAGCTCAATGGTAGAGTGCCCTGGGATCCAACCCCAGTATGAAAGAAAAAAAAAGAACGATAGGACAAACATTAACAAACATATTATCAGCAGTTTTCTCCTTCAACAATATGCTAAAATACAAAACATGATTTAAAAGGTTTGACTCAAAACTCATGAGGATCAAAAGATATCCTAGGTATTGTATATTAATACCTTATAATAGCTATGGACATGGTAACAGAGAATTATGTAGAATATAGAGAGCTTCTACAATAAGGAAATGGCAAACAATCTTCGAGAAAAAAAGAGCAAGCATGTGGACAGGCAATTCAAATAATAGTCAAAGTGAATGGCCAATAAACACAAACATTAGTCAGGTTAGAAAAATTATTAAAGTACACAGATAGGGAAAAATGAAGGAAAATTCTAAGACAGAAGAGTCAGCTACAGATGTAGCTCAGTGGCTAGGGATATAGCTCATCTGTCAATATACTTAAGGCCCTAGGCTCAATCCCCAGCACCGCCGTGAAAAATAAAACCCAGAGTATTAAGCCAATGCAATGTAGGTATTTTTCTTTCTTTCTCCCTCTTTGGTGAACTCTCCAGAAGGTTCTTACATTACTTTTATTATTTAAACATCTTAAGAATGGTGAACCCAACACTGATGTATAAGCCCTCACTGGGTACAGCACAGGGTTCACTATTCCTTCTTGCAAGTGCAGACACATTTCTCCACATCTCTCTCGGGAGCCTCTTGGTGACCCTGTGTACCAATCAAGAGCCCAGTGAGCACATCAGGAAGCTGGTTCCAAACTTCCATCAGAATCTCTCTGACTTCCCCACTAATCACTCCCTGTGCTATAAAAAGATGTGATGGGAGAGTGAAGTCCCAGCCAGCTCTTCCATCAACTGCCTGGCCTTAAGGGCTCCCCTGGGTCTCCCTAAGTCTCCAATGCCTTGACCTTAGGGGTGTACAGGGGATGATCTCCAAAGTTCCCTTGTTCGAACTTTCTGATTGTAGGTACAACTAGAAAATAAAGCCAGTGATAATGATGGGAGTCCTGGAAAAAGATCCACAAAATTTACAGTAGATAAAAGTCATGCTCAGATATCTAAAATCATGCTTTCATTCAGACTAGGTATGTGGCGTTTACTAAATGCCTCCACTCACTCTGTAGTCTCTATTCACATCACTGAGCTGCCAGAAACTATTAGGGAGGCCCATCCGCTTGTATTCCTCGCTGAGATCAATCAGCAGCCAGCCTTGCTCTCTTTCTTCTTTATCCAGCTTGGGATTGAATGAAAAGCAGTATAACTCCTCGTATTTCACTGTAAGAAATGGAAACATAAAGCCAAATCAAGCTAAGTCAAACTAGAACCAAATCTCCTCAGAAACATTCTGTCCCAACTCGAGTTTGCCCTCCCTGTCCTGGTAGGCTCCCAGGAGCACTTGCCTGCATGACAGGTCACTGTACTTCCTCCCAGCAATGATGGACCCTACTTTCTAAGAGCTTTCTTCCTTTCAGAGAGAGGGCCTTCTCCCTGTGCTTTTTTTTCTTTTTAAGTTACTTTAAAAGTAAATATATTTTCCAAACCACATCAGACATCAAGAATTCAATTATTTAATAATATATATATGAGAGAGTGAGGTCCCAAAGTTTAGATCTGGGGTAGCCTCTCAGAGGTAGAAAAGGACCAGATCAGTTCTACATTTTGATGCTCAGAATATTAAAAAGCAAAAAACTAAATAGCTGGGAAAGCTATGGATTACATGTTTACATTAAAAATATCTGACCTTGTAATAACTATAAATATCATAATTTTATTGCTCATAGATATTAATAGGATTCATTAAAAATATGAATTTAAGTACACAGCAGCCTGGTCATGGAGAGTAAGTTGAAAGTCTTCTTTCAATTTTGTTATGGTATGGTCTTTGTATATAACACCTTTTATGCTTTTGAAATCAAGCCCAACAGCCCCACAGTTTTCATCTCAGGGAAATCTAGGATTTGCTTTTCTTGCTCTGGTCTTACCACATAAGAAAAGTGTCCACCAGCAAAAGACTGAATAACATAGACAGCCTGAGATCAAATTAAAATTTCAAACTTGTTCTGATTGCTACTGCAATGACTCATCCACAAAGAAGAATAATGGTATGGGTCATATTGTAAGTAACAGATTTTCTTCATTAGACACAAACCCTTTCTTGTGAATAAGAAGGGACATGGCTTGATAAATTATTATCTATTTCAATCTCTCCTGATGTCATCTTTCTAAGCTTCAAAACTAGAATACTATCTGAGCAATAAGATAATATACACAGTAAGTGCACGGATCATGGAGCAGATATTTTCAGTAAAAAGAGCCTCTCTGTCATCTTAGTTAATCAGGAAACAGCACAGAAAACAGATCCTATTCTGGGAACAGCTGGTTCAACACTCAGATTCTAAGTACCATTTTAATGACTCAGGCTTCTGCTACCATAATGTTAACTGCAACTGCAATTCATTCATGACATCAAAAGAATCTCTCAAAAAACCTTCAGTTCCTTCAGTGAAAGAACTGATGAACATGGCATAACAAAGACAGTTGTTATGGTTTATGTCTGTGTGTCCCCCCAAAGCCTCCTGCAGCCATGGGGCAGGCTATTAGAGTTTGAATATGCGTATGAGAGCTGCACCCGCCCGGGAGTGGATAGTTTGCATATGTAAGAGAGAGAAAAAGAGTGCTTGAGGACCTTCCTCCCCCATTCTTCCCTGGTGTGTGCTTGAAGCTTAGCTGTGTTCTGCCGCCCTGAGCTGTAGCTCTTTGCCATGTGCCACTCTGCCTTATAATCCGCCAAGTACGGACTGAAACTTCCACGAACTGTAAGCGAAATAAACCTTTCCTTCCTTAATTTTGGGCGTCAGGTATTTTGTCCCAGCAGTGAGAAAAAAGTAACCAAGACAACAGTCAAACTTCTTTGTTAAATATTTACAAACAGTTTTATAGGTAAAAGAAGAAAAATACTTCATGACTGCTAACATTTCTTTGTGTGTGAGCTGAGACCTGCTCCTACTGGGAAGAAGCAATGAAACGTAACTGAAGCAAGAATAACATATAACAGACAATAAGAGGCCCATTGCTGAACTGGAATACGTTAGAATGGATTGACGATGGTTATAAAGTTTTTTCTTTTGGAAATTTTTTAGGATAAAAGTTATCAACCCTCAGGCCTAATTTAAGTAAAATTCTACAGGAGGGCAAAAAAGTTCTTAACCAAAGCTCAATGGGCAACACTGACTGGTCCAGAAGAAGCCTAGAAACTACCTACTTGGGAGATTAAAAGTACCAATAGCACAGATATAAATTTCACTGAATATTTCCCATCTCATAATGTTCTCTTCTTCCCATTCCCACTACTTACAAAATTCACAGTAGAATTTTTAGCAATCATCTGGGAGGTAAGGTTTAAAAAAATCTATTGGAGGGGAAGTTTCTTCTGTCATTATAGACTTTTTAAAAATTACTGACAAATTAGAGTTGTATATATTTAAAAGGAACCACGTGATGGTAAGATTTACAGTGTGAAATGATTAAAGCTAATTAACATATATATCTTCTTAAACGTTTAACGTTTTGTTGAGTAAATGTGAAATTTTCTCTTAGGGATACTAAAATATACAATACTCAATTACTAGCTATCTTCCCCATGCTGTGCAATCAACCTAAACAAATAAAAAACAAGCCAGCCTTATTCCTTCTATTTAACTGAGGCTTTGTACACTTTTGACTATCAACTGTCTAGTCCCCTCCCCGCAAGTCTCTGCTAATCTACCATTCTCCTCTGCTTCTATGAGTTCAATTGTTTTAGATTCCATGCATGTCTTTCCGTTTGCTTGCTTTCTTTCTTTCGTTTTCTTTTTTTTTGGTCTTTTTGAGACAGAGTCTCGCTATGCAGTTCAGGCTGGGCTTGAGCTCACTTATGCAGCCTAGGCTGGTCATGAACTCACAACGATCCTCCTGCCTCAGCATCCCGAGTGCTGGGATTATAGGCATGCACCACCGCACCCGACTGTTTGCTTTATTTCACTTAGAGAATATTCTCTAATTCTAGCCAGGCCATCGAAAATGACAATTTCTGCCTCTTAAAAAGCTGAATCATAAGCTTGGAATATAGTTCAGAGGTACAGCACTTACCTAACATGTGCAAGGCTCTAGGTTCAATATCCAGATAGCCCAAAATTTTTTAAAAAATGACTGAATCTCACATTTTTATCCATTCATGTGTTGATGGACATCTAAATTGATAACTGGGGTATATCATGAAGAGTACTACAGTGAATACTGAAGTACAGACATGTCTTCAACAGATTTCAAACATTTTAGGTAAATACTTAAAAGCAGGACAGCTGGATCTTATGGTTCTTTGTTTCCTTGCTTCCTTGCTTGCTTGCTTTCTACTAGGGACTGAGCTCCAGCCTTTCTCACTGAACTACATCCCCTGCCCATTTTTATTTACTTATTTTTATACTGAGAAAGGATCTTACTAAATCACAAAGTTGCCCAGGCAGGGCTGGAACTTGCAATTCTCGTTCCTCAGCCTCCTACAGTGCTGAAATTATAAGCATGTGCAACCACAAAAAATCAGTTTTTCTAAGAACCATCATACTGTTTCCCATTAATTACACTAACTTACATTCCTACCAACAGTGGACAGGTTTCTTTTCTTTCTGCTTTTAATGTATTACTTTGTTTGAATAAATGTACAGATGCTCCTAAGAGTCCCTAAGGACTTGAACAAGCAAAGGTTAAATAGATTTTTATTTAAGTTAGGGATACAGGAGGTAATGAGGCACAGCAACAGAAGATCTGGGGGAGGCTCCAGTTCTCGCAAGAGGATCAAGGACGGAGAAAGGACAGAGTCAGTAAGAGTGGGGAAATGCAGGATCCTGACTGGATTGGAAGAGGAGAGTTGGAGAGGAGTGAAGAAGTTATATCAGGACCACACTGAAGAGTATACAAGGTTTCTTTTCCTCTACATCCTTGCTAGTACAAAAGAATGGTCTTTTGGTTTTTGTATTAGCCATTCCAACAAGTAACAGATACTTTAATGTGGCTTTAATTTGCATCTCCCTAGTGATTAGTGATGTTTAACATATTGACATCTGTTAGTTTTTGATAGGTCTTCTTTTGAGAAATGTCTATACATACAGTCCTCTGTCTATTTCTTTATTAGGTTATATTTTTCTCTACAGAGTTAACATATACTTTGTATATTAATCCCTTATGAGATTTATGGCTTGAAAATATTATTTCCTGATCTGTAGGTTTTCTCTTACCTCTGTTAACTGTTGCTTTGTTGTGAAGATTTTTTTTTAGAGAAATTTTTAACCTTTACCAAATCTGAACTGAGAGAAAGATATCTGCCTCCTCTAAAAGGCCACATCCCTCAGCTGACTCACCAGCTCCTAAGACAGACATGCTACATGCTCCACTGGCTTTTCACACCACAAAGTCTGGGCCATCACTAACACAAAACATCTTTGCTATAGGTTTCAACTGGATATGCACAGAGGGTCTCACATTCAAGAGCCTCGTTACTTCAAAGGCAAAGGAGCTCTTCCTACAAGAAGCTAATATACATGCCTTTGGACTGCGGGAGAAAACTGAATGGACACATTTAATTTAAAAAATTTTCAAAACTATTTCAGAAATATTATGTGGAAATCATTTTAGCACTTATTTTACCATATATTATATCTGCTTAAATTATATGGTTATCTTAACAAAGGCAATATGGACTATTTTTCTATTTATTCAGGAAGCAAAATGACAATTTCTAAAATACTACATGAAATTATGAATGAACATAATTTTGGCTAAATTTCTAGGAAAACCTAACTGATGTTTCAGTCAAAAGCATAAGCTAAACCAAAGCACAGAGATATATGTTCTAATTTATTTTATTTTAGCACTATTGTTCATGATCTCCATAGCTTAGGGAATCATATGTCACTATAATCCAGTTTAATTTCTATCCTCACTAATTCCGTCATGATCAGATAATCTCACTTCCTACTTCCCAGAGAAAAAGCAGGCCATCCAGTGGAAATGAGAGACATCAAATCACCAAGCCCACCATTGGACCTGCATCTATACCAAAATTTTTGCTCCTTCTCGTCCATGTAAAGGAAGAAGTATTCACTCTGTCAAAGGAGGCAGACAGATAAAGAGACAGATGGACATGGGTAAAACAAAACATTAGGGAAGGAAAGAAGGAAGATAAACTAGCTTGTTTCCCAAGTATCAAATTATAGGTTATTAAATAACACATGAAGGATTTGGGAAGCAATACGGAGGAATTGCCTTTCCTTACAGACTAAGTGGGAAAATGAAAGGTAGCAATATTAAAATGAAAAGTACTTTAAAAATTTAGATAGAAAACCAAAAGTAGGTAAGAGAAGGGAAAAGTTAACTGCTATCATCAGAAAGACACAGAAATATGGAAATCCTAATACTAAGGTAACTATTGAAAGCCAAATTGCTTCAGACATTCTGCTAAATTTAGGCAACTTAAAAATAAATGTAGTTGAAAAGCCTTTTAGAGAGGGGCGAAAAGACAACACAGTTATTAATGGGTTTTGCATATTTAAAATAAAAATAATAAAAGTGACTCATATTTGATGTCTA